CGGCCCCCCCCCCCCAGCAGCCCAGGCAGGATAGCGGAGACTTGACCTTCAGGTGGCGCCCCCTCCCCCCCCGCAATCTCCGGTGCCCCCTCCACCCCCTCTGCATTCTCAGGGGCCTAGTTTCCTCTCCCCAGCCCTGCCAGGATGGCCTTCTGGCCAATATGCAAAGAAGGGCCCTGACTCCCGAAGGAAGGTCCTTCCACTGGCAGAGAAGCTCCTGCCGAAAGTTCCCTCTCTTCAAGAGACTCAGGGCTGGTGGATCATTCTTCTCATGGACGAATTAAGAGAGCTGGGAGGGACCTCGGAGGTCTTCTAGTTCAACCCCCTGCTCAAGCAGGAGACCCTAGCCCAGGGGTAGGCAACCTCGGCTCTTTTATGACTGGTGGACTTCAACTCCCAGAATTCCTGAGCCAGCCATGCTGAGGGGAAAGGGAGAGGTTTCCAAGCTGAGCCATGCTGGCTGAGGAATTCTGGGAGTTGAAGTCCACGAGTCATGAGGGGGCCAAAGTTTCCCCCATGCTGGCTCAGGAATTCTGGGAGTTGAAGTCCACCAGTCATAAAAGAGCCAACATTTCCTACCCCTGCCCTATAGCATTCCGGACAAATGGGGGTCCAAATCTGTTCTTAAAACCTTCCAGTGTTGGAGCACCCACGACTTCTGGAGGCAAGTTGTTCCACTGGTTAATTTTCTCCCAATCAGGGAATTTCCCCTCAGTTCCAGGTTGCTTCTCTCCTATTCTCTGTGAGAGCCCCTCAGATATTGGAAGGCTGCTATCCTGTCTCCCCCAGTCCTTATTTAAACTAGACATCCCCAGTTCCTGCAACTGTCCTTTATATGTTTTAGCCTCCAGTCCACTAATCATCTTTGTTGCTCTTCTCTGCACTCTTTCTAGAGTCTCAGCATATTTTTTACATCGTGGTGACCAAAACTGGATGCAGTATTCCAAGTGTGGCCTTACCAAGATATTATAAAGTGGTACTAACACTTCTTGGGCACCTGAGGTGGCCCAGTGGCTCAAGGTCTTTCCCAACCCATCAACGGACTGGAACAACTGGGAACGGCAGGCAGGGGGGTGGACGAGCAGAGCTGAGGCTGCATCTGTCCCCCACCTCGGCTGCAGCTCCTCCCGGATTCCTCCCCCCAGGCAGCCCCCCTTCTGAGCTGCCAGCTTACCTGGTAATCCACCAAAAGCTCCGGTCCCTTGAAGTACCGGGAAGCCACTCTGACGTTATATTCTTGTCCCGGGTGGTAGAATTCTGCCAGTCCCCAGTCGATCAGGCGCAGCTGCAGCAGGCCGTAGAATTGGGGAAGGAGTTGAAAAATTAGGAAAAAAAAAAAGCTTCTGAGCACTGAATCAGTTTTTCTAGGGAGGAATCAGCCACTCTTTGTTCCTTTCCAAAGAGCAGAGGAGACAACAGACCGGCATCTGGAAGCAGATGCTAGCCTGGTCCAGGACTGGGAAGCACGGAGCTGAATTGGGAAGGCCTGGGCTCATCACTCCAGGAGAAAGAAAGCTCCCCCTTCAGAAAGGGATCACCGTAGATCGGGGGTCCCCAACCTTGGCCACTTTAAGACCTGTGGACTTCAACTCCCAGAATTCCCCAGCCAGCAGGGTCTAACGCAAGGGTGTTCTACCGTGGCGGCCACTTTAAGACTTGTGGACTTCAGCTCCCAGAATTCCTCAGCTAACATGGTCTAACCCAGGGGTGTCAAACTGCCAGCCCATGGATCAGTTTCATCATACAGAAGCTGCGCCCACCCCATTGCCGGCAATGGAAAAAAAAGTTGCGATACGTCACGTGGCGAGTTTGACACCCCTGGTCTAGCCCAAAGGTGTTCAACTGTGGCCACTTTAAGACCTGTGGACTTCAACTCCCAGAATTCTCCAGCCAGCATGGTCTAACACAGGGGTCTTCAAACTTGCCCCTTTGATGACTTGTGGACTTCAACTCCCAGAATTCCTCAGCCAGGCACACCCCAGGGAGTTGAAGTCCACAAGTCATCAAGGGGCCAAGTTTGAAGACCCCTGATCTAGACTGCATGAACTGAAAGCATGGCTGGCTGAGGAATTCTGGGAGTTGAAGTCCACAATTCAGAAAAGGGCCAGGTTTGACACCTCTGGTCTAACACAAAGGTGTTCAATTGTGGCCACTTTAAGAACCTGTGGACTTTGACTCCCAGAATTCCTCGGCCAACATGGTCTGATGCAAGGGTGTTCAACTGAGGCCACGTTCAGAACCTGTGGACTTCAACTCCCAGAATCCCCCAGCCAGCCAAGCTGGCTGGGGAATTCTGGGAGTTGAAGTCCACAAGTCTTCAAGTGGCCAAGGTTGGAGACCCCTGCTGCAGATGCACAGAAGGACTGGGCAGTCAGAGCAGGTCAAGGGCCGAAGCTTCCAACGCCACAGAGCTGGCCAAAGCCAGCTAAGCTACCAGAGATGCGAGTTAGGATTCAGGAAGCTCTGGAGTGGCGTCCCTGGGTGACTCTTGGGCCACCGTCTCTCCCAGGAACCGCTCTCCTCTCGGGCCTTGCTTCTGACCAGGACAGCCGACCGCTGCCCCGCAGGGCCTGCTGGCCGCCCTGCCGCGCTCTGGACCTCGGTCTCAACGGCAGCGGCCTCACCTTCCGATGCTCGTGGTCGATCATCACGTTGTGTGGCTTGACGTCCCGGTGCATGACCCCCATGCTGTGGCAGTAATCCAGAGCCTGTGAGGGTTGGGGGAGAAGAGAGTGGGTCGAGGAGGAGACCCCTGGACTCTGCCCCAGCAGAGGACACCCAGAGGCAACTTCAGACCTGCCAGGTGGGCCAACGGCCGGGCCGAGCCGCTGGGACTTTCTGGGGAGCATCAACCAAGAGACCTCATGGCTTCGGACGGTGATAAGATCACCCTGCTCTAGCAATTGGGGGGTGGAGGGGAAGAGGAGGAAAGAGAGGAGGGGTCCCTGGTGCTCTCTGAGCTGGGTGGTTTTCCTGTAGATGTCTCATGAGCCAAACTAGGTAACATCTGTAGTGCTAGAAAGGGGTGGGGTTTATGGAGAGGAGGAGGAGGAGGAGGGGGTCGGGGGAGGGCTGTGGGGTCCCTGGTGCTCTCTGAGCTGGGTGGTTTTTCTTGCAGATGTTTCATGACCCAAACTAGGTAACATCATCAGTGATCAACCCGTTTGGGTCATGAAACATCTGCAAGAAAGCAACCCAGCTCAAACAACACCAAGGACTCTATAGCAGGGGCCCCCAACCTTAGCAACTTTATGACTCGTGGACTTCAACTCCCAGAATTCCCCAGCCAACCATGCTGAGGGGAAAGGGAGAGGTTTCCATGCTGGCTCAGGAATTCTGCGAGCTGAAGTCCATGAGTCATAAAAGAGCCATGGTTGCCTACCCCTGCCCTAAATCAGAGGTCCTCAACCTTGGCAACTTTATGACTCGTGGACTTCAACTCCCAGAATTCCTGAGCCAGCATGGCTCAGCTTGGAAACCTCTCCCTTTCCCCTCAGCGTGGCTGGCTCAGGAATTCTGGGAGTTGAAGTCCACCACTCATAAAAGAGCCAAGGTTGCCTACCCCTGACCTATACTATACCTATAGAGAAACCTATTCTGAGATTTGTTTTTTAAATCCTGAGATTTNGGGGAAGAGCGGGGAGAAAAGAGGCGAAAGAGGTTGAGCCGGTGCCCCCTTCTTGCTGTCCTCTCCCTTAAATGGGGCGATCGAGGTTCTTCTGTGGGGCAGCCCAGCCCAGGTGAGAGGGGCAGGGAAGTCGTGGACCCCAGACTCTTCGGGGGCCTCGGAAGTGAGGCTGGGGGAGTCCGAGTTGGGTCAGGGAGGGAAAAGGGGGACGAGCCAAGGCCCGGTGGCCCTGGGCCAGAACTGGGGCCTGACCCAGAGGCAGGAGAACGGCGTCCCTTAGCACTCCCCCCCCGGTCCTATAAGGCAGTCCTCGACTTCACCACAGCTCATTTAGTGACGGTTTGAAGTTACAACGGTGCTGAAAAAAAGGGACCTACGACCTTTCACACTTTACGACCAGTCACATGGTCAGAATTCAGACGCTCGGCCACCGGCAGGTACCGAGGAGGGTCTCAGTGCCCGGGGGGGGGGAGGTGGTCACGTGATCCCCTCCTGACCAGCCAAGCCCATGGGGAAGCCAGATTCATACAACAACCATGTTGTTAACTTGAGAACTGCGATTCCCTCAGCAACGGTGGCAAGGAAGGTCGTAAAATGGGGTAAAGCTCACTTAGCAACTGTTTCGCTCAGCGAGAGAAATTTTGGGCTCAATCGTGGTCGTAAGCCGAGGACTTACCTGTGCCAGGGAGTAGGAAGAGGCCCAGCAAGCCACAACAGAAAAAGCAAGTTGATCCGGAATGGTCTAGCCCAGGGGTAGGCCACCTTGAGCTCTTTTGTGACTGGTGGACTTCAACTCCCAGAATTCCCTCTGCCAGCCTGGCTCAGCTTGGAAACCTCTCCCTGAGCCAGCATGGCTGGCTCAGGAATTCTGGGAGTTGAAGTCCACAAGCCATGAGGGGGCCATAGTTCCCCCATGCTGGCTCAGGAATTCTGGGAGTTGAAGTCCACAAGCCATGAGGGGGCCAAAGTTCCTCCATGCTGGCTCAGGAATTCTGGGAGTTGAAGTCCACAAGCCATGAGGGGGCCATAGTTCCCCCATGCTGGCTCAGGAATTCTGGGAGTTGAAGTCCACGAGTCATGAGGGGGCCAAAGTTCCTCCATGCTGGCTCAGGAATTCTGGGAGTTGAAGTCCACGAGTCATGAGGGGGCCAAAGTTCCTCCATGCTGGCTCAGGAATTCTGGGAGTTGAAGTCCACGAGTCATGAGGGGGC